GTTTTCTAGTTTCTGGCTTGCTCATTCTTCTTTTGTTATTAAAGGATATCAGGCTTTCTGAGAATCCAGTGGCTGACCCTGCACAAGGTGGAATCCCACGATTTGTTTTGGTTGCCCGTTTAGCTAAAGTTGAAATGTTGAATGGGAGTGAGGTAAACCTTGAGGACCTATGAACTCCAAATTTGCTTCTTTCATTTATATAATATATCTGATATAGTTTGTCTAACATATCTTTCAGGTTAGTTCTCGTGAAAGAAAAGAGTCAGAGATTCGGTATGCCTCTTTCTTCTCGTGTTCATCCTTCAGCTTAGTTTACCACCACAAGTGCACACTTTTATGTAGGGCTTTTAGGTTTCTGTAGCCCGAGATTGCTTCTTTAATTGTCAGGACCTGTTAGTCTCAGCCTCAGGCTCTCAATATGGAAATTCTATTTATTATATTTAGTGATCACTGCTTTGCTGAGAGCCCCAAACTGAGTATTTTCCTTTGTCATAAAGGCATGGATTTCTCTTCTTTTTTTTCCTTTTATTTTTTTCATCCAGTGTACACCATTGCTTGAGTGGCATATGATTCCACCCTCCCCTCCACTGAATCTGATCTGGCTCAATAGCATACAGTTTAGTAAAACAAAACGAAGAATGTTTCAGTTTCATATCACCACTTCTACAATAGAGATGTTGAACATCACTTGCTCTTTCCATCAGAATTTATGGATATGTGTGTATATATACACATATTTTTTTAAGGGCTCAGCTGGCCCTTAAGTATTCCTGGAGGCGGCTCATAAAGAGATCAAAACATTTTTATGCTTCAGCTGGAATCCATGTTTGTAGTGTTTGTTAATCTTCTGAGTCTAATTTTGTAGGTTTAGTTTCCTGTCTCCTTTTTCAATCAAACTTTTGGGTTTGCATAATAGTTGACCAAGTCATTGGTTGTGCTCTCCACTGATTGGTGACAAGGGATCATAAATGCATGACTAACGGTTATGATGTTAAGCTGAGTGCAATAGCATTCCCTAAAATTCTGGTTCAGGGAAGTTATTCTTATTGATGTATGAATTACTTTCTGAGTCTTTTGCCAAAAGAAAAAAAGGAGTTAGTTTTTCTCTCTGAACTGTAATTATCTATATTTGCAGGTATGTCCGATTAGTTATGTCAAAAATGCAAGGAAATAGCAAAGAACTCCTGTGGCTTCATCCTAGGTATCTGTCTTTTTCAAGTTAATCTTTTATATCTTTTTGTTTAAAAAGAAAAAGATCATGAGGGGCATCCCATGTAGTTTTTTTTTTCCCTATGTTGTTCCTGAGAGCCTTGGCTCATTGAAGAATTGTGTTATTATTTTGGAAATGGTTATATCAAATTGTGTGGTGTTTATTTTTTCATTTTCTTGCTTGCATCATGAGTTTCAGTGCTCTAGATTACCAAAACTGACTACTTTCGGATGTCTTTTGACATTCTGAATTCACACAGCATTGAATTAATAGTAGATTTTCATTGACAGCTTAGCATATGACCACGCTTTTGCATGTTGAAACACAAAATTTCTGAGGACTATAAGAGATGGGATAAATAAATGATTTACCTTTCCTAAACTTCCTTTCAGATTTTCCTTGTTCCCTTGAATACACATTCAAGCGCCTTCGGTGGCTTGGGTTTGGGACATTAATTCCACTAGTGTTTGCCACCAAAAATGACATCTGTTGATAGTGGAAGGAATCAAATACTTCCATCTCATGAACCTTTGCTTTGTTACAGGTTTGCGGAGCTTAAGGTTTTTCATGGAATTGAAGATGAAAAGCCATTAGTTGGAGCAGCAGGCCCTCAGAAAATGGCTTCAGGACTTCTATGTAGGAACTTCAAATTGTTTTTTATATATTTAAAATTAGCTTCTTTCAAGGACTATCAAACCAATCTACAATTTTATGCAGCTATTACTCTGAAATGTGTGGGAGCATCTATTGGTGAGAAGCCGTCACTGACGAAGAAACTCCCAGGCGCCACAACGGTTATGGTCCCACTCTCTTTCTCTAAATTACAAGTCTTGTTGGATGTATCTTAAAAACTCTACCTTCTTTTTGTTTTTTAGGTTGGTAAGCTAAAAATTCTTTGTGAAAGCTTTTTCAAGCTGAAGTCTATCAAGCTGAAATTGTTTCTTCAAGAAGAGGTTTGCCCTCCCTGTTACACAATATATCATTTGTTATTGCTGATTTAAACAATATCAATAAGTTATTGTTGTTGAGAATAGTATGTCATTATACTGCCATTCCCACTGGTTGCTTTTGATTGAGAAAAAAATGTCGAACTTATTGAAAACCAAAAGAGAGGAAAACCCTAAACTATCCTTAATACATAATTTAATTCTAATATAGATGTCTTTGATCTCTCCGTGGAATAACATTTTAAAAGTAATACAAATGCACCAGTTGCTACCTCCAGTACTTTAATTCTATAAGCTAAAGAATTGCTTGCTCCCAGAACGTAGAAAGGAAGGACTCTTGCCGGTGTATATTTTTTCTTACACTTTCTGCTGCAGTAAATATATTTTTCCCTAAATTTTCAGGGTTCTCCTTTGCCAATGTTGCTTGATGATGAAATGGCAACTTTAACGGACCTTGGGATTGGCAATGAATCAACCATTCTTGTAGATGAAGAGAGTTAAGAGAAGTATCTGCAGAGAAGCTTCTTATGTTTTTGCGGTCTGTAAATCCAAAACAACCAAATTCAAGGTATATGCGCAAGCAATGATATCTTTCTTGAGTTTCAGTGATTTCTTTTCACGTGCATGGGTTTATTCACCCTAGCAAGCTTTTCAATGTTTGTTTTTCCTTATTTCCCTTACTATTCTGATTATTTACTTAACAATTTGAATTGTTGTAGATTTTCAAGTCGCATCTGCTAAACCAAGGTCAAATTTTGGGCTACCCAGAAGCAAGCAGTAGCTGCTATTGTTCCATTTGAAGCATGTTTAAACTATCTACTACTTCTGTCACTCCATGAGACAGCTCTGCGGGTCATAAGAAGTGAATTTTACAATTGGTTATTGTTACCGTGATTTTGGGTCATATGTTAGAACTAGGATGTCTTGGATTTTTACAAAGAAACAAGGTTCAAGTTACGTGTGCCATGAAATAGATGTGGAAACTGCGCATCTGGTCTTAGGCCTAAGGTTTGTTGATTTCGCTTGTTTTGTTGTCGCGCCTCTTGTTTGTGGTTATTGCTTTTGTTGTTGGGTGAGGAGTAGTCTAGCGTGATGGTCCTCTGCGACTGGGACTTCGCTCCCTTTTGGGTGGTCTGACCCTCACTAAGAGCATTCACAGTGGGGGGTGTAAATTCGGGGGTGTAAAGCCACTTTTACATTTCCTTTACACATCCGGGGATGTAAATATGTTTTTTTCTCCAGTGGGAGGGTGTAAATTCGGGGGTGTAGCCGTGGGTCCCAGCCCTTTATGCTAACTTTTCTTCATTTTTCTTCTATTTTCTCGGGTGGGTCCTGCCTGCAAGGGATGTAAAAATAGATGTAAAAATACATTTTATTTTACATCCCCATGGTGGTGATGTATATTTACATCCATTGGAGACCATTCCGGTGACTCGGGGTGTATATTTAACATACCCTCATATACACCCCCCCACTGTGAATGCTCTAACTCAAATGTTATTTGAAAAGAAGTTCATCATCAATAAGCCTTGTAATGATTCAACCTAGGGGTGGGGAAAAAAAACGATGAACAGGTAAACGGACCTGAGCCGGATTAAAAATAACCGGAAAAAAAGTGTTAGACTGACTAAAAAAGTATGACTTCAGCTAAAAACAAACCGAACTGTTTTAGATTGGTCCAAATTAAGCAAACCAAATTGGTGGTGTTATTTGACTTATTTATATCCAAATATTTTTTATTTTTTTTAGCCGAAGTTAGAAACGGAGAGAGGAAAACTTATATACACAGGTATTAGGGGAACTTGAATCTAGGACTATTTGGAAGCACACCAAAGTTTAGGGGGTTTTATGTAGTTAATTCTTTTTTTTTTTATAACCCTTATGTCATATTCTTTATGACTTGAACCCCCATTTACCTCATATTAGTCAAATATGTAAAGAAAGAGACGCTCGAAGGTGCAAATGTAACTTTATTTGACGGTATCTTTAATAGAATTGCTAGGAATTTGACGATGGGGATATATTGACCATTTTTGTATAATTCACGAGGAAAATTGGTTTAAAAAGTGAAAAAATGTAAGTGATAAATTGACACTATCAATATAGATATACTCCTTTTCTTGAAACATAAAACTTTGGGTTTTTTCTTTTCATATTTAGAAATAAATATCCATTTGAGACCCCTCGAGCAATGTTTGAACTCCGCATAGATACTATCCCTCTCGATTAGTTAAAATTTCTTAAAAGCTGGGGTAAAAGTTTTTTAACAAGTCGAACATTTGATTACCTTTCAAAATCTCCCCTCATTGGTAGACTTGATGCCAATCTGATCAACAAGATCATTACTTTTCTCGAAGTATCTAACACCCCTCCTTTTCTTAAATGAAATTAAAACAAAAATTTGGTTTAGATTTTAGTAACAAAATAAATTAACATCATCAGAATACGTGTAGAATGTCGTATTTGGCATTGGCAGTATGGAGTCGTCATAGTCCGTAGTCCCCCAAAAAGAAGCCAACTTGATTTTAATGCTTTGTCCTCTCTGTCACACTCTCACAGTTACAATTCTCTCACTCTCAGTAAAATCTCACCTGCAGATGTGACATTGGGTTTTGCCTTTTTATTGCTTCACCTGAGAGAGAGAGAGAGAGAGAGAGCATACATTATTCACACCCCTCAACTACTCACTGTCCTCCTCTCCTTTCTAACCACATATTTGAATAGAAGAAGAAAAGGGTAGTAAATAAAAAGAAGACTATTTATTGTTGGGGTAAATTTTGCTACTTGTTCATACATACATACATGTATATATGAAAGATGAAGCCATATGCCCAAAACTCTAATCCCATCTCCTTTTATCTCAAGTTCTGATACTCAGCTTTTCCACTAAGTCACTGGTACGCTATCTTAGCTTCTTTTATTCATTCCGTGTTTGGTTTTTTCTTTTCTTTTTTCCTGTAACATTAATTTTTTCTAGTTTTTATTTTGTACAAGTACTTGTTTATACTTCCAAGATTTGCTTAAACACTTGGATAGTGTATTCAAGGGAGGATTTTGGCCTTTTCAAGCTAGAAATGACAAATTTTCATGTGGGTTTTGGGATTCTTGTCGCTGTGAGCATAGAACTTGAAGTTGGGTGTAGGATAAATTCTCATCTGCTGTTTTCTTACCAATGGGTTGATTTCAATTTCTAAGAAATGATGCTGCTTCTGTTTGCGTTCACTGGTAAAAGTAAATGCTAGATTTGGTTCTTTCAAGTTTCAGCTGTGTTCTGCTTTCTATCTGCAAATTTGATATCTTCTCTAACTTGCTGCATGTACAACTCATTTCACTGTTGAATATTTTCGTAAGAGTATTATTAATATTCTTTAGTGCTGTCCTAAGTTAGCTGGATGATACACTCATTCTAAGGGTGAAAAGAGTGTGGCTTTTAAGGTAAATTCTCCTGGATAATTTGATTTTATTTATGCATTTTGACACTGCCTGCACAGGCATAAATACATGCCAATGGAGTTTATTTCCTTTCCCTATTATCGTTTCCCCTGTCACTGTCGGCAAAGACTTCAAGTTGGTTTTTTTCAATGAGCTGGCTTGGTTTGGGAAGACTAACAATGCAAAGATATGATTTTGACTCTCCAAACTCAACTCACCACTCACTTAGTGCAATATTTTTCATTGTGTGCAACCCATAACCAATTCCAGACTTTATAACCCTTTCCATTCTCACCAAATAGGCAGTAAATTTGATCCTGCAGAATATGGTTATTTTATTCTGTGCATTGTTGAGTTTCTAAAGTAAAAATTTGGATGTATGATAAATAACATTTCCGATGTCCGGTTTAGTTTAGATTGTTTCATGGTTGTTCACATATGGTTCTTACTTCCCTTTGTGCAGATTGGGTTACCACTTGCTGCTGCTAATTGGTAGAGTTAACACGTATTTAAGTATTAACTATGTTGAAGCAATCACCCAGTAGGAACCAGAGGTCAAAAGGCTTCAAGGTGAAGCATGCTCTTCAGATATTTCTGCTGCTTGCTATTTGCATCTGGTTGCTTTACCAGCTCAAGCACTCCCATGATAAGAAAGCATATGAAGAGAGCTCTGCAAAGATTTCAGGAAAGATGCAGAATGGGCAAGAAACAATAAAACTTGGGAGGCGTAGCCTCCATCCTCGGGTGGAGGAAACTTCCTTGGATATTGGAAGGCATAGGGAAAAAGAAGAAGAATCTGAAGAAGAGGTAGATGAGAGTAAAGATGAAGAAAGTGAGGAGGAAGGAAGAGGTGCTGAAGATGATGAAATAGACGGGCATGATCAAGAGAGAGCTGAGGACGAGTCAGAAGGGGTAGAGGATTTGATTGATGAAGAAGATACGGAGAGGGAAGAGGAAAGTGAAGAGAAGGGAAATGATTTGGAGATTCCCAGATTGCTAGAGGATCAAGCCCAAAGTGAAGATACAAGGAACACCCAGGAGGCCAGAGAGGAACGGTACAAGGGTGATGATGCATCCAGTGCTGTGAAACAGAACACCCAAAAACTAAGCAGTGAAATTGAAGTCGGAAGCTTGAGAAAAGTGAAGGAAGAAGAGGTAGATAAAGAGAATAAAACCAATGGTATCCTAGATTTTAGAGTTGATACAAATGATTCAGGCCCTAAATTTGGTAATGTTGGCACAGCTAAAAATGCTGCTGTTGACAATGCTGTGTATGGTGAAGAAAGAAGTAATCATTTTGGTTCGTCCAACTTAGATGTTCAGGCATATACTAATTCATCAATCAACATGATTGAAGAAGCAAAAATGAGCAATGATTCGACAGTGGTGCTGGTTGAATTCGCTGATTCTCTTGATGGAACAGAGATGTTACCAAAGTTATACAAGGATGCAAGTCTAACTTCTAGCCAAAGGCACTCATACTTGGAAGCTGTTTCGGGGAAGGAGAACGAAAACCCCAAATCCAAGGATATGCAGTCAGGTTCCAGTATGACATTATCTGCAACTGAGAATTTAGATGCACCCAAGCAAGAAATGAAAGTTTCTATTGGTTCTGAAACAGAAAGTGTTGTTGTATCAGAAGCAATTGCAGATCTTGAGAAAAGCTCTGCTCCTAAAACCACCAATGAGAATGACCAGGAAGTTGCTAATGTGGAGTCTCATGCATATGGTAGGGTGAACAGAGCAGTGGAAAGTTCAATGCTATTGACAACCAATGAAAATGGAGATGCTGTACAAAATGAATCACGTTCTTTGGGTTCTTCATAGAGATGATTAGCCAATCTTGGTGACTTTTACCTATGATTGTCAGACCTGGAGCAAACGACATTGGAGGTATAGCTGAGTGATCATTTCTGGTGGCCATGTTGGGTTTTCCCTTGGATGTTCTATAGCATACATGATAGTAAGGTAGATGATCAACTGTATAGATCTTTTTCTCTGATGCCTAGATGATGTGATGCTATCAATTAGCCCTGGCAATAAGTTTATGCAAATTAGAAAATTCGAAATGTACTTAAGTGTTATGTATCTAATAATTTTTGAAGTATCAAACTGATCTGTAGAATCAAGAGTTCTACCAATTACCTTCCTTGACATCTAACTAGGAATTGGAACCTCTGATTGCTTGAAGTTTCAACAATTCACCTGTTCATAGCTATTGTCCATAGATTTTGATCAGATGATCAGGAGCTTTATGTCAATTTGCATAAGGAGGAAATCGGCCCAGCCTACTAAAAGAAGGCCAGGATAGACCCAAAATGACCGAGGCCTACTGCACACTGCAGGCTTATTTTGTTACTTCAACTTGGTAGTATCTTTTGAAAGATTTTTGGTTAATTATTGCAATCGTGAATTAACATATGATTCCCGGTCCAACTCAGTAATAGACAACACTGATATATGTAACAAGAAGGTAACGACAGCAAACAAAACTCAGAAGACTTCATTTCAATTTGACCCGAAAGGGAAGAGAACAAACAGTTCGATGGCAGACATTTCATAACTCTAGACATGCTCTGTTTGTTAGATATGCAATTGCCATCACATGATCACTATTAGGTACTCAGTCAATAAATGAGTATAGGCATTGATGTTGTTCGAAAATTAGCAAAACACTACATCAATGATAATATGGCAGCCATATCCATCCTTGTTGCGGGCCTAAATTTTGCGTATAATTTCATGGACGGTAGAAGTAGCTCCAGAACAAAAATTATGAAAAGGGTTTGGCATTAATCTTTTAGCTGTATGCATTGTAAATTGAATATCTTTCTGCAGTAGCAAGTGGAATCTAAAAATGAGTGTCAAATTCTCTAAATTAGAAATTCTCCTATGTGGACATCTGGACGTTATTATCGTGGGGACATTATTTATTTTGTACTACCCCTCCCTACTTTCTTACCTGTTTACAATGACATCCACACGATAATAACGTGCAAACATCCGGATAAGAGAATAATTATATATGCACACACGCACATGTATAGTAGCGCCGAAGTGTAAACCAATTGGTAATTTTATATAGCCATGATTCAAAAATAACTACTGTATCCCTTATTTTATGTAGATTGATGGATGCGTTACTTTACTTGCATGAATATGGCCATAGGGTTAGGCTAGCAACTGATGCAAATTTCAAAGATTTCGTACTTACTGCTGGGTTAGAGTTCTTTCCTTCAGGTGGAGATCCAAAAGTTCTTGCTGGTTATTCCTGCGTACTTTTTGATGAGTGTTTGGTCTGCTTATTCCCTCATTTGGTAATTGCTAAAAAATTTATTTTGTTAAAAGTCTACTCATAAACTTGTTTTGACATTGAGGAACCCCCTTAACTTCTAATGGGCACGATGATCGCACCAACATCTCTAGCTCATTCTGTTCCTCATCTCAAACAACAATATTTTTCAAATTCTGAAGAGCGAGCTACCATGTCTATTATCAGAAGGAACAGCAAAAGGAACTCTGTTTTACAAGAAATACAGAGACATATTTCGAGGCTGTGCGTAGGATTCTTTTCTGAAAACGAGTTTGATTGAAGAAATGAATGGGGTGTAAATGGTAGGAAAATAAAGTAAAAATACAGACAAAATAGTTCACAAAAACAATAACCTCAGTCTCATTCATGTGGCGGCTCAACATTTCATTGTATGCTTCAACACTTGAGCATTGAATGTAAAAGTGGCTTGCGATTCGACCAATTTATGTACAATAAAGCTGCCACTTTTCTCATCAAAGCGCGTTAGCATCTGCTATGATAGCTCTTTGCTTTGAACTCAAGGAAGGATCAGCAGCAACCTGCAAAATGCAGAAGAAAATATCAATAACCTGAAACATGCAAAAGCAAATATCCTATGCATAAGCACCATTAAAGCAAATAACCTTAAAATGCTCGAGTCCTTCAAACTTGCGAGCAAGTTCAACCTGTTCAACATGTAATAAGTGGTTAATAGTGAAAGCATAGCATAACACACCTCACATGATTGACATTAAAGAATTATAAAAAACTGAAACTAGTTTATCTTGCTATGATAAACCACATTGGTGGTTGCTCTATAAGAATTTAAATGTCACAAACAGATTTTATCCTTTCAGATTATATATATCGCATCCCCAATTGCATCCCTTTCAAATTATACCCACATGGTCCTTATAATCCATTTACCTGACATCTTAAGGAACTTCAAAATTATCCCAATAAGTTGACACATTTCCCAATTGCCATTCACAGTGCTAGTATAATTTCGGATGATTGTATTCTTAACTACTCTGGTTAATAGTAACCTACTTCCACTGTTTCTTTTATTATTATTATTCTTATTATTTCTTTTTTTTTAAAGGCACTGTTTCTATGTTAGATGTTTAAAATCAAACTTCCAATGATTAGTGCATCAACACAGATCTAGTTTTTTAGCACAGTAATATATTTATTTTTCACTTGTCATATTCTGTTGATAAATTTTATCTTTTTGAACCAGATCAATATCATTAACTCCAAAACTAAAAACAATATAAGAGAAAAGAAATGGCACATATATTCCAAAGGAAACGTATTATACAAATATCAAGGCAGTTACTATGGCTGAAATCAAAACTTGCAAGGAATCGTATTGGTCCAGCTGATGAAATTGCATTAGCAACCAACTGAACCTTCCACATTTATGAAGTCAGCATGGCTAGTTTATTATCAACACTTGCAAAAAAGAATTTCAGCCAAATAGGAACCCACAAAAGAAAGATGGAATATATAGGTATACCAATTTCCGAGCTGTTTTTGCCGTGTCCCTTCAAGAATGAACGATTACCATTGCCTGTTAACCTTGCCTGAGTGATTCAACAACCTGGCAGAAAAAGTATCAGTCAGTTAAATAATCATCAAATAAATATATTACCCAAAGGAGAGCCTAAGGAAATAGATACCTTCGATAACTAGAATCAAAGAAGAAGAGTCCTGCTTCTGGATTCACTCTCAGAAACTGCGCAACCTGGGTAGTTATAAAAGAATAATCCACATTAACAAACAAATAGAATAGATGTTGAAGTACGGCATTTAAAGGCCAATAAATACAGAAAAAAGATATCATCAGACGACCAAAATACCTCTAAATAGTACAGTAGAGTGGCTGAAAGGCCCACAATGTGATTTCAACCCTATCAGCGGGTGTTGGGTGTGATAGATAAATGATTTCCGGGTTTGGATTCACAAGTTCCCACCTGAAAATTCCATTACAACAAAATTCAGTCAAGTCTTAAATTAAATTAAAATTCAAAAGCACACATAATAAGGTATATGATTTGTTTGTGATATTTTATTTCTTGTATCCAGTAGACAAATGATGCAAACAATGTTGGAAGTTATATATATCTCAACAAGCATGTTTCCTGGATGTATTCTTGGTCCACAACCAGAAACCTGGTAAGTCCCAGGCGTGACTGATTCCGGACAAAGTGAATAGAAATGCGGTTTATAAAAACAAAAAAAATCATTAAGTAAAATTGGAGATTGGAATCCTAAGAAACAGGTGATAATGTACCTTCACGGACTGGTCACCATTGATGTAAAGTCTAATTCTTCATCAGAATCAATCACTTCTTCAAAATTGTAAAATGGATTTGCCTTTGGTCTTGGAGTGATTGCTTCGAAACTATGAAATACAGGATCATCGAAATTCGGGGGTTCCAAGATAATGTAAGCCCCTTTATTTTTGTACCTCTCGTTTGTCCCCTGAAATTGTGGGTAGTCTGGAGCACTAAACAAAGTGATGAGCTTTCCTGATTCCACAATGTGATCGATGGTGTACCCTTCATCCATTCCACCAAGACCTGGTCTCTTTTCCCGTGCATCAGGGCCTTCATGTGATCTAATAATCAGCTTGAGTTGAAATTTCTTAAGAAAAGCCTCGGTGCAATCAGGACCCCAAAGAAGACCAATGCCTCTCTCTGTATTTAAAGAAAGCCCATAAGTCATTGAGGGATCCGACCAGAGCACATCACCGGGAATCAAATTGGGACCTTCCCATGGAGGATCAAGAACTGATCTTCGAGCTTTATTTAATTCTTCAACTGAGCCCAAAGATAATGAATTGGGGTCAGGATTGAAACCTATTTTATGCCTCTTTTTTCCCCTTGATTTCTTCGGCATCACAGGCATGTGGCGAAAAATGCCTCCATGTGCAGTGTACACATGTTTACCAATGATGGAAGCCAAAGGAAGATCTTTAAAACACCCAAGACATTTACAATACACATGCTTGCCTCTATCACCATACTTTGTCAGCACTTCGTTCTTGAAACCATAAACAGAAGTGCAATACTTCGATTCGTGATTTCCTCGCAAAAGATACACTCTTTTTGGCATGAACACTTTCCAAGCTAACAAAATTAAGAAACTTTCGAGACCCCAGGCACCTCTATCAACATAATCGCCATTGAAGACGAAGAATCGATTTTCTGAGGGAAAGCCAGCATCATGGAGAAGGAAAAGAAGGTCATGCAACTGCCCGTGAAGGTCTCCGACGACGACGACTCTGGATTCAGGGGCTAAGTTGTCAATGGTTACACAATTGGCCTCTTTGTGGAGGATCTTAGAGGCACAGAGGACCAGACTATCAAAAACCTCGACAGGAAACACGTCTGGCAATTGGGTCGGCTCAAGATGTCTAGAAGCCCAGTCAAAGACGGACATGAGGCATCTGACCCAGTTGAAGGTAAGCTTGCCATTGGGAGGCCAACCAATTGGGGTTTGAAGTTGAGGCGACTGTGATGATGGGTTGTCTTCAGATTCTGAGTTGGTAGCTATGGAAGGCAATGAATTGATGACTGGAGGTTTTGCCGCTTCTGCAAGTTCTGCTGGTGCTGCAGCAGATTGTTGATCTTGAGATGCCGCAAGCGGAGGATTGCATGATGGAGATGCCTGATGAGATGTTGACGGGTCAGTAGTAGAACTATGCTGCAGAACTGGCCAAGGCAAGGTGGAGGGCTCTGCCTCCTGGTCTATGACTGAAAATACAAGCTGTGAAGGCGGGGTCTGCACAGCTTGAGTAATTTGGGTAATACAAGCTGTCAAGAATTGGAAGAACTTAATATCCAATTTGAGTAAAATTTATCAAATTTACTAACTTCATTGAAGGAAAATGTAGTATATAATACAAGGCATTGTGAATCGATGAATGAGATGACCATTATAATATTGTTACCTTAAGCCTGTGGAGTTTAAGGTTTAGGGTCAGAACTACATGGTAGTAACAGTGAAAAAGAAAACTAAGCAAAGATATTAAACACAATTAACGATATTTAATCTGAGACCCCACTCCTGCCATTCAATATATTTAGTATTGGTAAAAATTGATTAGGTAACTATGTAATAAATGGATAACCATTAAATATTGTTACCTTGAGCCTGTGAAGTTCGGACTTGAGCCTCTGAAGTTTGGACCTCTTCATCCTCTATGTTAACTTGAGCCTCTGACCATCCATCTTTTTCAATTAGAGAGGGAGTGGGCATGTGTCCAAAGGGAGTGGCCATGAAGGCAGAAGAAGCAGGAGTGGCAGTCTGTCCAGGTGCAGGTGCATCCTCTTTTTAAGACAAAAAAACCAAAAAATCAAACATTTGCAAAGCCATTTAGAAAATTAAGTAACATATACCAAAAACGGTGATATTATAGAGCATGGATATTAGTAAAATTTCTATAAGCCATCACCAATTTTGCAGTATATATATACCAGGTGTTGTAGAGCTGCGCATAGCAAAACTGTTGGGATTGGGTTCATCCAAATCAGGTGTTGGAGAGTTGGGCAGAACATCAATGCATTGTATCAAATATATATGTCTACACTCCCAATCCAGTACGTATTGTTTCGTAGAATAATCTACTTGCTCTGGCCCACTCATAGCTTTTGTTTGGTGTCGCTTCACCTTGCCGCAAGCACTCAAATCAACTTTGCGGAAGCCAAACTTCTTTATGCATTTGTCCGGGCGATGGTACGCCACGTAGTTAAAACAGATCATGACTGTTCTACTTAAACGCATGATCAACTGAGGTTTTAACCAATCTGGCAAGAAGGACTCAGTAAGCCTTGCATATGGCTGCCACGTAACCTACAAGAAGCAAATTACATGAATGAAAAAGAGAGAAGTGTATGCATAAATTCAAGGTAAACTAGAATAACTACCTTACCTCTTCAATATTCTTCAGCACATCAACATACTCTTCCATAGAAGCCCTGTACTTGCTTTCCAGCCTTTGCTTGTACACTTCTCCCCATCCGATGAGCAAAGGGAATTTATCAGGTTTGGCAAAATTGTTTCTTTTCATAAGTTTATAAGCAAGCTCAGGGATATACTCCATTATAGCAACCTGAAAGAATTTAAGGCATTAGAAAGAATGCCTTTCATACTCAATTTTTTATTTATTTTTATTTAAGACATGAAATTAATACTTACTGTTAGAAATGCAGCATCTCCACAAAAGCGTTTACTTTTCGGGCTCTCCGAAAAACCTTCTATGGCATTTTGGAGATGTGCTAGCATTGCTGCCCCAAATGCATAATTCTTCACATTGTCCACATTTTCAAGCGTGTGAAGATACATGAGGCACACCTTATCTCTGCTTTTGTCCGGAAGAATGCAAGCTCCCAACAAATACAACATGTATGCTATAACGTATTTGTCGATCTCTTTTCCATCCAGTTGAGGAGGAACAATTTCAAAATTGGACTTTAACCACGAAAGACTACACTTGGTTCCTTTATTGTCCTCAACTATTCCAAAAATTTTCCAAGCGAGTTCTCTAGAATCTAGATTGCTACCGGTAACTGGATTGCCATCTATTGGCAATCCAGTTATCCTTAGCACATCCTCTAATCCTAAAACATACTTCCACTTGCTGAATATAAATCGTCCTTTTTTATAACATGCTAAAATAGCATTTAACATGGCAAAATCATGCTTAACTGTAAGCCTAGCATACTTTAAGTAGGTATCAAATCCCGTTCCTTCAAGTCGGCATTCAACCCTTTTATCCACATTCCACTTCATCAACTTATCAAGTTGTTGATTAGTAGAACTCTGCCATTTGAAAAAATATAAATTTATAAGACACGATACTTATATCAATTTAAAAAAATAAAAAATTGCTACTTATTAATACTTACGATTTGAGGAAGGTATTCCTGATCATTTGCCATTTTTTTTGCTGCAAAGAAAAATAAAGAAAGAGATTATTGAGTATTATAGTATTATATAGCATTACATTTTGTGTGTGTTATATATGAGTAAAAAAGCTTGTATATATGAGTAGGCTATAATTAACCGGGAAGGTATACTATTGTTCTTCCTACAGAATCGAGTTTGTGGACCTACACTACTACTGCTGCTGCTAGACATTAATATCTGCTACACTGCTAATTCAATCAACCTTAAAATTGGGGCTTTGACCTCATCAATTGAAATTGGGTTTTTGCAGACAACAAGCAAAGAATTAAAAAAGGAAAAAAGAACAGAAAGTAAATGAGAAGAAATTGAAAAGAAAAAAAATTTACCTGAGAGAAGGAGCCCAGAGAGATGGCGCTATCACTGAGTTCCTTCGAGTGCGAGAGGGAGCCGAGAGAAGAGAGAGAGAAACAACTGCGAAACAACTGTCGTATCAAAACCCCTGAGTTCCTCTCAATTTTCGTGACGTCTCTCCTGTTTGTCTTCTTCTTTTCTTTTGGATTAGCCCACAACAACACTGCGAGAGACACTGAAATTACCCAAAAAATTGAAACCCTAATTGAATCTAACCAGAACCAAGATTTAAGGACGCCGATACGAGGAGGACGCCGACGACGACGAAGGTTGAATATGGGCTGTCTCTCTCTTCGAATGACTTGTTTCCTTTTTGTTTTTTCCAACCTTCGAATGCCTTCAGTTGTTTTAGTCAAATGCCTTCAGTCTTTGTTTTTCTTTTTTTTGGGTCAAAGCTGCCTTAGTTGTTCTTTTATTATAAGGAAATATGCTGATATAATCACTTTACACAAAAGACCTCTCATTCGTCAGCTTGGAAGGCGATGCTCGTACGGTTCTCCATAAAGGTTTGCGTTGGATTGTTGGTAATGGACAATCCTTTTTTTTTTTTTGGACAGCAAATTGGGGTTTTCCCTTTCCTCTACTTGATTTAATTCCTAATTCAATGAGAAATGACCTTAATTTGAATTCAGTTACAGATTTTATTCAGAATCAGACTTGGCAACATGATAAGCTCCTTCAAGAAGTTGATAAAGATATTATGGAAAAAATCCTAACTATTCCTCTCCCTCTGTCACCTCTGCAGGATGCTTTAATTTGGAGACCCGGCCCTAATGGGAAGTTTTCTATCAAATCTGCGAGCCTACTCATCCTAGAGCTTCTTTACTGAAGAGAATGTGGAGTTTAACTCTACCCCCTAAAGTCAAACTCTTTGCCTGGCTGTTAATTCGAAAAAGATTACAAGTCAGAAGTCACTTATACAAATACTTACCAAATATCAATCCTGAATGCCCTCTTTGTACTGATCACATGGAGACTATTAATCATTTATTCTTTGAATGCCAGTTTGCAATCAACATTTGGAGGTGCACCCCTCTAATCCCTACGCTTCCCCAGTAGGTTTTTGATGGCATAGAGTGGCTAGCTGCTCTCCCTCGCTCGATGGATAAGTAATGGCCCAAATATTCTTTCCAAAGCTCTCCTTCTTTGCTGGCAAATTTGGGAGGCTCTGAATAATTATGTGTTTAAAGACATTGCCCCTCATCCAGTTAGAGCCCTTCATGTTGCTGGTCAAAATGGTCTTGACTATTGGAAAATCAATTCCACTCCTCCTCAGAAGTCCAAAGGTGTGCTTGCAATTAAATGGAAACCACCACCATGCAACTGGGTAAAATTGAACTTTGATGGCTCAGTGCGTGCTAACTTGGCTGCCACTGGGTTCGTTATCCGGGACTGGAATGGTAACTTCCGGCTTGTGGGAGCTAAGAATTTGGGTCAGATTTCAATAACTGTTGCGGAATGTCTGGCGCTTGGCGACGATCTAGCCCATGTTATCCACAATGGACGGCGCAAAGTTGTAGCTGAAGGAGATTGCAAACTCATCATAGATTGTATCAACAACAAAGTTTCGGTTCCTTGTAGTATTTATCTCCTGGTGCAAGACATTAGGCTGCTAAGCTCTTACTGCTTACTGCGATGAGATTTCCTTCCAGCATGTCTTCTGGGAAGCTAACTTCACTGATGATGCTTTAGCTAATTTAGGCCACAATCTGAACACTTCCCACCTTTGGGAGCAGGGACTTCCTTTAGGCTGCTCGGCTCCTTTCTATTTTGATTTAGTTGGGCATGCGTGCCCTCATGGCTTTCGTTTCTCTGAAATTGGTTTAGGGTTTATAGGTTTCTATGAAATTAGTTTAGAGGTTTCTCTGAATTTGGTTTAGGGTTTATGGGTTTCTATGAAATTGTCTGATTGTGATGATTCCTTGTTTGAAACAGTGAAGGAGTGTGTTCTTTGTTCTTTGTTTGAAACTGCTGTTGTTTTGCTGTTGTTATTGGTATCTTATTGCTGTTTTATTGATGTTGGATTGCCATGTTAGTGATATTATATTGGCATCGTAGTGTTGTTTTATTGCTATTTTATTATGGTTTTATTCTTGTTCCATTGTGGTTTTAATGGTTTGGCGATTTATGCAATTGGATTATGTGTTTGTTTGTTGTTTTGTTTCATCCAAAGAAGGGAAATTGTAGGTGTTCATTTATAGTCTCTACATTAGGCACCCTTTGAAGATCACATATTACCAACTCAAGCTTGTGATTGAGGCTTTAAGGGGGGAAGCATATATATGAGGTAAATATGATAATGTCAGTGAATTGAGTTCAGTTTTCACTTATCACTTGGGAATTCAATGTGCTCCTTAATTATGTCAGGAAATCCTTTATATGAAGATGCAGACATCGAAGCTGTCCTAGATGTGCTTTATATGGTCATCCATCCATTTTGATAGAGCTATTTCATTTAGGTATTTTGTGCAGCAAGGTGAAATAATTTCCAAGGTCTGGTGAAATGTAATATTGTACAGTCGGTGGCGGTGACTAATTTCCTTACATGGCACATAAAATGTTTCCATTTTTGGGTTTTGTTTTCGAGTTGCAATTGTGGTTAGCATACTTATTCTTTATATTGTGAAGTTCAACTATTTCGTACTGCTCGATATATAAACATACTTGCTCTTTATGGAGGTATAACAATTTACTTGTTTGAAATGATCTGTTCGTTTCCACTGACTTCTACTTTTTTTTTTGTATCCATTTTTGACATTTGGTCCATGTAGTTTTCTTCATTTTTCTGTGCTCAATCCAATCATATATAGAACACAAAATTTACGTAATGGGTAGAAAACTTAAAGGTCAAAAAATGGACATATGGCAAAACTGAAAAATAGAGGAAGTGCATAATTCGTTTCTGTCTAAAAAGCAATAAAATGGCGATACCTTGGTGATACATAAATTGCTGTTTGTGTTTATTTTGGGTTTCTTGTTTTGTTTCATTTCATTTACTTATCTTGACTCATTACTAGTTAATAATGGGATGATTACGAGATTAATTTGTGTCAATTATTAATACAAGAATTACATATATGAAGATTAAGCCGAACAACATCCATTTCAGACTACAAAATAAATTGCCGAACCCTAACAATACTATCCCGCGAAGGGAAAACCAAGGCTACACTTTCAGATCGCTTCATAAAAAATTTGACATCATCATCGTCCTCAATCTTTATGTGCTTCCACTCATTTGAGGCCACCAAAACTGAGAACTTTAAGCAAACCTTATCTTCCATGCTATTTGTATTACCAATCTGATGCACACGATCTAACAGTTCAGCAAATGTGATGGTCTGTGGAACTATTAAGCCTTTTGAGTCACCCCCTTCGTATTTGCACATCTTTTTTGAGGTTACCCATTTTTCATTGTAGCAAACCAGAATAACAATTGTCTCCATTTCTGATCATGAAAAAAATTATTTCATTAACACAATACAATCACAATAACCAGGCAATATAACAGCAATATAACATCAATATAATAGCAATATAACGGCAATATAAAAGCAATACCACGGCAAAATAACAGGAACACAATAGCAATACAACACTAACACAACAGTGAACAAGGATTCATCACAATCACACTATACAAATCCACTACATCAAATGAAAAATCCAAAGTTTCAAGATTCATATATCCAGAGCAATCTAAATACAATTGGTAAAAGCCCAGATGGATGAGCATGAAGATTCAAAAAACCTAACCTAAAATAATTACAGCCAAAACCAATTTAACAGAAACTCAAGCAATCAAAATAAAACCAATTTCACATAATCCAACATATATTAAGAAAATAACCATAAACACTACCTATTTGAGGTCGGCGATCCAGTAGAGCTTCAAGGTTGCAAGCAACTATTCAGAAGACATACCTAAAATATGGGGTCGAGGGAGGGGTTCGTGATTCAAAACAGAGAGCAAGAC